ATATAGAATCTATATCTCACGATATCCTTCTCCAATTCTATATTGAGACTGAAAAATGGTAACGTGTATGACAGCTATTGTTTATTCTATACGTACCGAAAAAGTGAAGTCTATATACACATAAGTCGCGCTATTAATATATATTTCAGTTTACGTTGCTGCAACATATTTTCATCCACTGAAACGCGATATCATGATTTCTCATACATCCAGACGTAATGGTCACGGTATAATGCAAATGTAAAACATTTTATCAACAAATTGATAGATATTCGTCATCATAGTAACTATGTACGTTAACTGTACGCCGATCGTTAATCATAGAGGTTTACGCGACGTATATTCATCTGACAATTAAAATTATTACCCTTTCACTGTTCCATAATTACCGCGTAAAATTAGTGAAAGCATTTCATCAGACATATCACGAAAGTTGCGAACAATCCAATTTTCACGAGATGCGTCACACGATTCCCCGCGAGTGTCTGTATTTTGAAAAATTTATCAGAACGATCACTGGAAGAAAGTAGTAATTTGTCGCGGAGGATCGCGTTCTTTTTCCAAAGAAGACTGTAAGTTTCACCGTGAAATATAGGCGTCTGCTTTCGACCCGCCCTTATCTGTGGTAATAGGGTATAATATGCTCATCCCTCTCTACAACGGCAATAAATCTGACCAGCACATTTAATGACCCTCGTAATTTAATATGTCTAATTTCACGGGAGATCTACCAATTACCATGGGACAATACTCTACGTGGACGCATAAATCTCATCGATAATACTAAGGGATAAAGCGAGACTTATCTGGCGATAATTCACTACACATTGTATCACGTTTCACGCACGACGAGTCGCACAATCTCTGATAACGACATCATCCGGCATATCAACATCCTTTCCGCGCCCGACGTTTTCGCAAGTCTCGCGCGCGCGTCCCCCCGGATTAATTGAATTATTATCGTTCGGTCGCGATCGAACCGGGACAGGCTACCTACTGATCCTCGTGAACTCGTTGAGTCTATCGCTTCCAAACTCCGGGCAGCTGCAACGGAGCAAGTCAAATCGGGGAGGCGACGAGCCAGATTGAGAGACAGAGAGAGAAAGAGAGAGAGAGAGAGAGAGAGAGAGAGAAATAACGAGAGAGCGAGATGAAAAGTAGAATCTCCTTAATAATTAGTCGCTCCAGACGGAAGTCTCAAGACGTCGGATGAGGCCACTCTGTTCTTCCGTCTGAAGCAATCGTTCGTACTACGAGACATCAGAGGCCGCAACAAAAGATGGAATTAATTAGAATAGTACGATCGCCGGTTCGGTGAAATCCCGCTGGCAGCGGTCCAGTAAACAAGTAGGTATTGATTCAGATGGCACGACGGGGGTGTACGAGAGCGAGGGCGCGTAGCGGGCGCGGAGGAATCAGGGTGGGACTCGGCTCGCATTAACCGGCTGTCGTGCGTATTTATCCGCAAATTTATATCTTCGCGCATATGTGCCGCCATTTAAACACAGTGGCCGGCGCGATGAAAGTTGAACGCGTGAAATACAACGGGCGCACCTCGCATGTGTCAATTAGTATTCAATTTATGACTACCGCCCAAAAGCAACGGGGCGCGGATTCGCCGCCGCCGCCGCCGCCGCCGCCGCCACCAACGCCAGCGTCGTCGCCACACGCTGTATTGCTGTGTCCGTTTGTCGACGTGTACGCCCGCAACCTGGACCCTTCCGAAATAACGATAGGCCGGGGCAGTTACGCTTGAAATGAATATCGTCCGGCAAACGCGATGAAAGGTAAATACAGGGGCTCGCCGTCGCCCGTGTATCCGCGTGTATGTGCTCGGCGCATACGTCAATCCACGTGGACGATATTCCGGCAATGTGGATCCGATTCGCGTGCGACTTCGCGAATGCGATATATCTTGCGCGACATTTCTCTCCTCGAAATGCCGTTCAGACCTATCGGACTACTTTGTATCTTTCATCTGCGAAAAAGTACGGTTTGCGCGCACCGCGAAAAAGGACGGCGAGAAACGTGTAATCCTTTCCTTTCACGCGGTATTCTCGTCAAAAGGACGTGATTATCGTGCAAGTGATGTAAACGTGATCGTCGGAGTATAATACGAACGATACGACAACAAGCCTGTGTTAACGTGCGACTAGTGATGTTCAATTTCTACTTCGGAAGTCGATTCGGCTGCAACGATCTCGTGTAACAACGACGCTCCACATTCTCGAACTTTTGCGCAGTACGTGCGAAAGTACGGCATAAGGGCGCGGATTGCGACTGCAATGGTCCAGAAAACTGTCCTCCACCTCATTACCATAAGAGAATAAAAGCAATCGGATTTTGTGCAGAAATACCCGGCTGCAAGCTTGCTTTTATTATTCGAGAGAACGGATTGCCGAGCGATAAAGATAACGGCAACTTGACGCGCTTCAGCCCTTCTTTTGATAATTATCTTCAATCTTCGCCGGATCCGTCAGCCGACTTAAAAGATTTGAAATTTATCAATGAGAAAAAGGCAATAATAGAAACGGAAATATTAAGAAAAAATTGCAAAATACGTGAGGGATTCGGACTTACCGCTTTGCTCGTTGTTCTGATTTCGCCTCCTGTCAGAATTATTTAAGCACAAGTGAATAAAAAATCTCACATGGTGTATTATGATCCACGCATTTTATTTTTCCAGATAGAAGTAGAAGCGGCCTCGCGCTAACCTTGTTTTCGTAATGTAAAAATAACGAGCAGCCAGCAGGTATAATCCCGACGTAACAATGCAAGAAATTGTACCGCGATATCATTGTCTGTATTTTGGTCTGCGATGTTATTACTCTCGTGAAAATTATATAAAATCTTTGGACACTACGTAATATCAGCGTTAAACAAGAGATGCGCCATCACAGTGTACCAGGAATAGCGCGGTCTTAGGGGAAATAATATTTTCCTTCAGCGTGGGTATCCCAATTAAAATCATTTTCGCCGTTTCCTCTCTTCGCCGTTCTCTCTCTCTCTCTCTCTCTCTCTCTCTCTCTCTCTCTCTCTCTCTCTCTTTCTCTC